GGATGGGAGGGAGGGATCACAGGGCCTGTAGATGGATGGGGACATGGTCAGGAATATTATATATGGTGTTGTATGGAATATTAAGGACAAAGTTAAGTTATATGATAAATGTTGTTAAATTATAAATGTCAAAATCTGAATAAAGAATTAATAAACAAAAAAAAGCTCTAGTAAGGACAAATTAGGAGTGAAAGCTTATAGTAATGAACTGTAAAGCCATCAGGCCCCGGAGACTTTCCAGCCTTGGAAGATTTGAGCACTGCAAGAAACTTGACTGATGTTAAAGGAGAATCCAATGAGTCACGCATATGAGCCTCAAGAGAAAGCATATTGCTCTAGGCCAAATTAGAGGAAATCCTATCAAGTAAAGAATCCTGAGAGGCAAGGACGGAAGATGAGCTCAAGTTGTATAATTTCAAGTAATACTCCTGCAAGGCGTTGGCTATAGCTTTCGGAAGTGTAACTTTAGCGCCCTGGGGTGTAACATTTTACGGAGCGCATGAGAGCATCCGCTGGTCTCGAAGAGCTCTTGCCAAAAGTTTCCAGAAGCTCGGCATCCCTCTGCTGCTTAACACAGGAACCATGTTTATTCAAAACTCCCCTAATATAAGCTTTGTGGGCCTCCCAGAGAATAACTGGATCAGACTCATTTGAATCATTAGTTTCAAAGTATATGTTCAGTTCCCTGTTGAAATCCGCTAAGATAGAAGAGTCCTGAAGAAGACTGTCATTGAGGCGCCATTGCAACGATTTGTGAGAGGAGAGGCTAGAAAGAGCGACCTGCAGGAAGACCGATGCGTGGTCTGATCAGGTGATCCTCCCGATGTCTGAAGCAGTGATCAAAGCCGAATGTTGATGGGGAACAAAAAACATATCAATACGGGAGTACAAGTCGTGCGGCGTGGAGTAGAAAGTATAATCCCTAACATTCGGAGGTTGTAGGCGCCAAATGTCTACCAGTTGGGAATGGAAAAAGTAGCGAAGAATACGTTTACCCGCTGTAGGAGATGAAGGGGGAGGAACCGGAAGTAGAATCTATAGATGGATCTAGCAAAACATTAAAATCCCAACCAAGAATCAGAAGCCCCTCATAAAAAGTCAACAAGTCTAAGATTTTATCAAGAAATACACCTTGGTTAGTGTTAGGTGTATAAATAGCTGCAAAAATTACCGTAGTAAGGCCAAGTCGGCCTTTCAAGAATAAACAGCGGCCATCAATGTCGGTCTGGCAATCCAGGAATGTCCAAGGGACCTGTCTAGAAAGCACAATAAAGACCACTCCCGATTTTGAAGACGCATTACAGGAGTGGTAAGAAACTGGAAAATGAGGGTCCCTAAGTAAGGGGACATTGTCAGCTCTAAAATGTGTTTCCTGAACAAAGGACACACGAGATCTCCACCTCTTAAGGTAATTTTTTTTAAAAGTCTCAGTTTTTCCAGAGAATTAAGCCCTTTAGGATTAATAGTGACCAACCAGAGCTCCCCCATGTGCCAACAGCCGCAGAGGAGAAAGACTAAGCAAACAGAAGATGGAGTGAGAAATGGAGAGAGAGGGAGGTGAAGAATAGTAATGAAGCGCGAACAGCAAAAGTTGGAAGTGCATGTAGGGAGGATGGAGGACAAGAAAGAACAAAATAAATAACATTTTAAAAAAAAGGTGGGCGAAGGAAGGGTGGATAAAAAGGGAGGTAGTGCTGGGGCATAACCCAGCAAAGGTCGACGATCCAGAAGGGAAGAGGGAGCATACTCAAGCGGTGAGTATGGGATGCTAATTATGTCTGTAACATAAGCATTTAAGACAACCAACCAGACTGATGGACATCGGTCGACCTGAGAATGGACTGTCATACCACCAGAATGTGAGCCGAAGCAATCTAGATAAGCCTTGCTAACGTGTTTTCAGGATAACATCCTCTTCGTCAGAGCAAATGGCAAATGCAACAGACTTTTGCTACCACCACCACTATATACACTCGCTGGCCACTTTATTGGGTACACCTTGCTAGTACTACGTTGGACCCCTTTTGTCTTCAGAACTGCTTCAATTCTTCGTGGCATTGATTCAACAAGGTGATGGAAACATTCCTTAGAGAGTTTGCTCCATACTGACATGATAGCATCACACAGTTGCTGCAGATTTGTCGGCTTCACATCCATGATGCAAAGCTCCCCCAGCCTGAACCGTTGATTCGAGGAAGGATGGAGCCATGCTTTCATGTTGTTTACATCAAATTCTGACCCTACCATCTGAATGTCACAACAGAATTTGAGACTCATCAGACCATACAACCTTTTTCCAATCTTCTATTTTACAATTTTGGAGAGCCCTTGCAAACTGTAGCCTCAGTTTCCTGTTCTTGGCTGACAGAAGTGGCACTCGGTGTGGTCTTCTGTGGCTGTAGCCCATCTGCTTCAAGGTTCAATGTGTTGTATGTACAGAGATGCTCTTCTGCATACCTCGCATGTAAGGAGTGGTTATTTGAGTTACTGTTGCCTTTCTATCAGCTTGAACCATTCTGGACATTTTCTTCTGACGTCAACAAGGTATTATTGCCCAGAGAGCTGCCACTCACTGGATATTTCTCTTTTT